ATCAGAATATTTTAAAACGATTCTTTTTATTTATTTTACATAACAATATTCACAATTTAATGGTCTCTTCTTAGTTACAATATGTACGATTCGATTTTTATTTGCTTTGCTCCACACTTTATTAAGTTCAGCAACTTGTCATCGATTTCAATTAATTTGTTTAATGAGGCATAAAATAAAACAACGTTCATCTGCAATGGTCCGTAACAATTTGATTTACGTACAGCCAAGGCTATAGAGAGAAGCAGTAGTTCATTATGTACCATGGGAATATTGTTGTTTTGTTTTTATATTCCTTTTTTTGTGATATTTAATTGATTGTTTTACCAAAAACAACAACAAATTGTGCTTTTGGTTAGATTTAATGCCACAAATGTTCATTAATAGTTTTTCAGTTGTATTTACATGCTTTTGGTTTCAATGGAAAAAGTTACAAATAAATTGTAAGAGGATGAAGTGATAGTCGAAATGAAAAATACGTTCGTACATATGAATATACATATTTCCAAAAAATCAGGGTCTTAATTAAAACTCTAACGAAATGTAACACTGAGTTTCTACGAAAAGAAAGCATTCTCTTTGATAGAGTCCCAAAAATTGCAAGTTGGTTTTGAAAAGTTAAGGCGCCTTTAGACTATGCCTTCTTAACCGACCTAATTTGTAAATTAAGGTACGAAATCCTAGCTGTTTAGACTATTATTAAAATTACATAAATAAAGTTGGCTTTTCTTTGTATACGTATACACACACTTTTCACTGCTTTCATAATTTGTCTCAAATATTAAAAAAAGTAATAATTATTTCCTTTTTATAAACAATTTTACATGTGTGGATATGTAAACAAGAATCAGCTGACTGACATTTGAATTGATCTCGAATCAGATGTAAATAACCTTTTAATGTGCAATTCAGGATTTAGTCAATCGACTTGATTGTATATGGTATATGTAAATTAACTTTCAAATATAGAAGTGTTGCGCTTACTGGTGCAAAAGCAGTGTTGTATTTGAAATTATATTGTGTTAACTAGAGTTGGGTAGTTCCGGAATGAACTAGTTCATTGGAACTATTCCGAGAAAGGAACGATCGGAACTAGTTCCAGCTCTTTAATTAATATAGTTCCTTTTTTGATCTCGTTCTTTTTTCACTTTTTTTCTGATCTTGTTCACGGAACTATGTGAGCGAAAAAAAACAAAAAGAACGATGATAGAGAGAGATTCAAAGGAACTACATATGTAGGAGTCGGAACTATATGGAGCAAATGAACTGTATGGAGAAAAGGAACTACATTAAGGAACTAGTTCCTTTTTCAAAAAGGAACGAGAAAGATCGATCCGCTAAGTGAACTAGATTGCCAAACTCTAGTGTTTACGAGAGCATATTTAGTTAAACATGGATACACTTTCGCATACAGTCCACTTGAGATAAGAGATTATTCTTGTTAAATGTTCGTACACTAGAATAAGACAGGATTTTTTCAATTGCCACATGTGGTATGTTTGGGTGAGATTACGGAAAGTAACGCTTACTGATAAGCGTGTGTAGCGTGTTTGCTTACCACCTGTAAGATAAAGAAATGTGTGTGTCCAATCCATGCAGGGTGCGATAAAAAAATGCTACAAAGTCAAAAGCCATAATTTAATTTGTTTTTCAATGTTGGTGACTTGCCAATCTTGCTTTCCAAAATACTCCAGACACACTAGTCCAACGGATTAGTATCCGGAGATTTTGGTGGCCATTGTGCGCTGGATAGGTAACCATTCTTGGGTGGAGCGTGCTGAGTGCGATGGCGCTGAGCCCAGGGTCTGCGGTCAAAATGTTTGCGTGCATAAGGCTTTAATACAAACTCCAGAATATTTTCGCGATAATATTCGGCATTTATTCTGATGCCAGGATCGATTAATACGAGGGGAGAGCGATTTTTCAATATTTGCCAATAGAATATTGCGATATGCATCTAACGATTGTCACTTCTGATTTTCCAGCCAAATAAAAAGAAATCACACTATGACGCTTGAATTCCATCTCAAATAACTTTTTTCTGGATAATTATCACCAAAGAGCAAACGTGCGTTTGTAAACAATATAAAGAGGTCACTGGTATAATTTTAACAGCTATCGGACGAGTGGCTTAGAAATGGCAGCAGTCTCAAGTTGTTTGAAGTTTTTTCATCTCACCCTGTATGTTATTGCAAATGTGTTCACGCACACTCTCTCTCTCCTCTTTTTTACAAATTAGTCTAAAATTACTCTCCCAACGGATGCATACATGTGTCCAACAAAATCATAGCAGTTTGCATATGTACTGTTGGTAAATGTTTGACTCAAATGTCTTTTATTTTGTTAATATCTCTTTCGAGATGAGCTACATGATCGGAGTTGCAATGAAAAGTAAAGCCAGATAGATACTACATTCCCATCACTATGCGACGCGTTTCGCCGTTGGTTAAGCGGCTTATCAGGCATATTGGGTAATGTGGCTTACAAATGTCTTTACATGATAAGTTGTATTTATGTCGACTATTGTAGCGAAATTGCATCTACGAATTAAATTCAACCGTGTCAAGGTTAGGACATTTGGCATCACACCAGAAGATTCCTTTTCAGAGCAGATTTTTCTTGTAGTAACGGACTTTTTTTCATACAGACTACAATATTTTTCTTCAATGGTATGCAACTGTATATTGTGCAACTTTAGGAAGATAAGGAGGTGGCTTTGAACGCTAAGGCGCCGGTCCTAGCTGAATTTTTTGATTTTTGTTTTTATACCTTTTTAGGGCGAAGGATTATTCATGTAAATCTTTTTTATTTAATTTCTCTTTCGAGATGAGCTACATGATCAGAGTTGCAATGAAAAGGAAAGGCAGAGAGATACTACATTCCCACCACTATGCGACGCGTTTCGCCGTTGGTTAAGCGACTTATGAGGCATATTGGGTAATGTGGCTTATAAATTTCTTCACTTGATAAGTTGTATTTATGTCGATTATTGTTGCGAAATTGCATCTACGAATTATATTCAACCGTGTCAAGGTTCGGACATTTGGCATCACACCAGAAGATTCCTTTTCAGAGCAGATTTTTCTTTTAGTGACGGACTTTTTTCCATTTTTTTCTTAAATTGTATTTTGTTTGCCCAAAAAACGTCAAATTTGTGCACTCCTAATTTTGTGTTCACATTACACTCAAACATTTGACACATTTTGTTTGCTCAAACAGATGGCAAATAGCGTCAAATAACGTAATGGGAAAACATGTTTGACGTGTGGTCACATGTGGAAATTTATTTGCCTGAGAATATTGAGAGAAGTTTTGGCCAACTTCGATTATTTTTCTATTCCTGTTTTATTTCAGGATATTGGTATATCTATAAACATCGTACGTGGAAACGTCCATGGAATCTCCATAAGGGGGAAATTCATAATACCTAAAATTCTAAACTACATGCAATCAGGTTGGAAAATTCAGGACCCTGAACATACCGAAAATGACTTGTGACGGCAGAAAAATATTTCTGAAATCCACAAAATACCGATCCAAAACAAACTTCAATTCATTGAACTTTATAACGATTTCTACAGAAGGACTTATTTAAATTTGTCTCCTAGGAAGTTATTTATGCATTGAGAAATGGAAATGCTAACTATTTGAATGGAAGCGAAGGTAGGAAATTACTTGTACCAAATCATTCACCAGGGATCCGAAATGCTAAATCACAGCGATATTAATTGGAATACACTGCAGAAAGTCCAAATTAGAGCGGTACCATTATATGGAATTCGGTGAAAAAAAGTTGTCTTCAAAATAACTAAAATGGGGGCTATTGACCACTTTTTGCAAACATGTATATCACCGACCAAGAATCCGGATGAATATATATATATATACACATTGCGGGCAAATCACGCAAAATTTAGTTTGCTGTCAAATAATTTTGTTTGCCCAAAATCAGCTGTTTTTGTGTTTGCCATTGAAAATATTTTGTGGTCAGATTATGACAAAGAAATATTTGAGACTTTTCGTCAAATATTTGCCTAATTTAACCTTACCTTAAAACAGGTTAAGTCATATTGTATCACTTAGTTCTTAAGCAACACTTTTTATTTTTATAAATTAGTGTGTATATGCACAAAGATTGAATTCGACGTGTTGGCACTCCGTGGAGAAAATCTGTGTAATGTACGTTTAGATTTGCAAACTCCACTTGATTTCAAATGTCAATTTCAGAACATATATGTCAAATATAATCCATTAGATTTTTGAACAGGATTAAGGTGACGTATATGCGATAGAGTTGCCATTTGAAATTGGGTAAAAGTAGAGTTGACATTTGAAATCGAGTGAATTAAGTAGTCTAAACGCAGTTTAAAAATTAAAAAAAAAATAAATGCTTACCAAAAAATTTTGTAAAATTTATATTTATGGCTATTTATAGTTCATGGTCATATTTTATTTAGTTTCCTTCATTAATTTTCAATATTTTCTAATACGTAGTAAAAATTTACTTCTACTGGCACAATATTAAGGGATATATAGATCGATGTTTGACTTCTGTCTTAATCGATTTATGTTGGAAGCTGCAACGATTTTGATTGCTTAAATGATTTCACAAGAGTACATTTACACTAAAATGTTTTTCATTTATTCAGTGTAAATGTAGCATAAGCCTATAAATCGTTAATAGCTTCCACCTGTATTAACTTTCTTTCACTTTTTTTCAAACTACTAACATTGAAATCTTTTCTTTTTTTTCTTATAATTTTTTATTTAACTGTTATCTGTGCAATTTTGTTGTTTACAAAACTTACTACAATTTTTCCATTACTATATTTATATATATTTTTTCTTAATTTAAAATAAAACAATTTAACTACAAAATCCTGCTCTCCATTTACAAAACCAAATAAATAAAATAAAACAAAAAAACCCCTACAAAACCAAAAAATATATATGCGTATGTATGTATTCTACTACTATAAATTTACACATGTATCTTTTAGCTGAAAAATGCTGCGGCGAATGTTCTTCGTGAAACTTGGCTCATTTACAAACATACAAGACTAGTAAAACGGGTTAATCCCGGACGTGTAAGAACCCACCAAAGAAAGTTCCTTCTAGCAATTTATGCGTGAGTATTCATCAACCAAACCAAAACCAACCAACCAACAAAAATCAAACAATAAACCAAACTAAACAGCAAAAAAAAAACTACCTACCAACCAACCAGCAATGATCCCATCCATAAAAAAAGAATAGAGCAATTAAAGACTTTTACTAACAAACTTCACAACAACAAAAAATTCATATCGCAATGCAAAATGCCAGAGAAATGTGCTATTCCTTTAATGGCTAAAAGAAGCTAATCAGTCTGTCTAACAGCCAGCCAAAAAAAAAACTAACCATCCAACCAACTGTTTAACAACAGAGTTGGTAGCAAATGCTTGAGCTTGTGAGGATTGAGATCTGACATTGAGTCAAGACCATTGTTTTCATTTTTGTTGCGATTAAGCCATTGGTTCTCACCACAACATATCAGAATGACAGGCCAACAAAATTCATGGCCAAGTATCAACACACTACTCTATGGACAATGTTTGTGTGTGTGTGCGTGTGCCTGTCTGTCTGTCGTTGTCAATGGCGATATGTCTGTATGTGTGTGTGTGTGCGTGAGACGTCTGCATTTATATTCATATGTGTGTATTGTCCTGACCTTGTTACGTCCAGAAAAGCCACTTTACTGTCTCGGTTTCAAGCACCAGTGTTTATTGACCTGCAATTTTGTTTAAGGGTTCCCCCACACCCATATTCTTAAAACTGACCGACTCTGATTGTCCTGTCTGCCTGGCAAAAATAACCAAAAAAAAAAAAAACAAAAAATTTGTCTACAAACACTTCTTGTGACAAGTGTTTGGGTAGAGCTTTTTTTCACTCTCTCTCTCCCTATTTTAAGTTAATATTTTAGTAAATGTAAGTGTTTGCTGTTAGTCCACAGGATTTTCTCCACAAAATCCTGTCGATGATGTTGTTGTTGTAATATTTTTGACTAACAGCCACAGTTACATTTTTTGTTTGAGAACTCGTTTTACTAGCCTGTAATTCGGTTGTAAAGCCAAATTTACAAATAAATTTGTGTTGAATACCCCCCAAAATTAACCAAAACAAAAAATCAAAAAAAAAAATAAAACTACTAACAAAATCATTATTCTTTAAGGCAACAAACACAATGAAAAGCAAAGACAAGAAGAGTCGTTAATTTTTTAGAAATTCGTATCTCAAAATAACTTCAAGGAAAAGGTCATGCCCTAATACTATTTTCCAGCACCGATTTTTTTCCAAATGGATCCCTCACACCCAAAAAAATGAAGAAAATGAAAACCGAACAGTTTAATCCCTCACTAGCCCAAAAGAAAATAATCTCTTTTCACTTTAACTCACATGCAATATCTATGTGTCTCTTTTTTTTCTCTCTCTCTCTCTCTCAATCTATCTCTGTAAACATGCAACAAATTTCTCTCTCTCAAACTCTCAGTCTATGTCTCTATTGCTAAATCCCATATCACTCTTACTCTCTAACTTTCCATTTCCCTCTACTCTTTGCTCTCTATCTATCTCTCACACACACAAATCCTTTAACCCCACTCCTCCTCCTCCTCCCCCTTCTCTCTCTCTATCTGTCGCTCTAAAACAAAAACCAAACCAAAGCAAAAACTTAGCCAGAGATCTGTGGAACTATCACAGATCCCGGATCAATCAATGTTTTATACGTTAACTAGTGGTGGACTTACACATGAATGTAAACTCCAATTTTCACTTTGAATATTAGTTTCTCAAAGAGATTTCGTTACAGTTAAGATTGCAGAAACTAAACTCTAGGTAGGGACGCAAAGCTCACTCAAACCAAATAAACTCGAGATAGGGAAACTTAGGACCCCAACTACCCCCCTTTAAACCACAACACAAGAAACCCCTCATCCAAACCTTCAAAATAAAACTTAACCCAATTCTAAGCAAAACTATTTGGCACTCTGTTTCCAAACCTAAGGCACTCACCAAATCACTTTCACTCTCTCCCTCTCTTTCACTCTCAATTGCTGTTTAACACTCTTAACCAAAAAAAAAATTAAACTAAGGCCCATCTGTCGCAATTATCTGCTGTCTGTTTGTGTTTTTTTTTTCATTAGGTTCATTTTGAGATACGATATTTCTGCAATCTTAACGACGAAATTTAATATTTCCATCGCAAAGTATTTTTCAACCCAAAAAAAAATAATAATAACCAAAAACAAAATAACCGCTATTGCTACTACAGTATTATGTAGAAATTAAAAAAAAACAACAACAAAACGTAAAAGTACACAACTCTACTAACATCTTAATCTATGACCATCTTAAATTTATTATTCATAATGGCTTCTTTTTTCCGTTTATTTTTTTCGTATTATTTTGGTATCTTTTCTTTCCAAATTTCTGGATTTTTTTCCTTTTGAACTACTATATAATTCTCCAAAACAACAACAACAAAACAATTCCGAACTTTCGAAACCAAAAAATCGAAAACGAAAATATATAGGTTACGTAAAGTTAAAATGGATCAACGCAAACTCATGGATAATGCCAATACAATAACCGATATGGCCAAGGTAAGTTCGAAAATGTTTATTTTTTTTTATATAAACTATACCACAATTTGTTATAGGTTTCCGAAAATTTTCCACTAAACATCCTCCTAAGCACCCTATACTTAGGCGAATCCCTCAAAAGATATTCATAAAAAACCCAAACCAAACCTCGACCAAAAATATTTTTAAACCAGTGAGCGGAGCAGTATAGTCGGACGGGGCCGACCATATGATACCCTATTCCAACTTCCACGAAAATCTAACTTTCTGTGGTTCTATATTCTGAGCATGGGCAATATTTCGATATATTTCCACACTTTTGACCGATTAGAGGTCAACCAATATTACTAATATTCAGAACAACCCTTCTAATTTCTGGGCCATATTCCCTTCGCCGTGGGTTGTCTTGCGATGTTAGGCTTTCAATTGTGGCCTATAGATCTACTCGAAATAATACAAAAAATTAAGTTCTCGGTCCAGTTCATCCCAAAATTATTATCTGATCATCAACGAAAATTATAGGCGTTGTCCTTGACCATACATGGATCCTCATGGAAAATTTCAAAGCGATCAGAGCTATATTTCCGCCCTCTAGTGTGATATTGGGTTACTAAATAATATCTGAATAATTGGTAACAATTTAAAGGTCAACCACTCCTCTTGAATATACTATAACATTAATTGGTATTCAATCCTTTAACCCCATATTATCCTTTAATCCCATATAATTGGTAACAATTTAAAGGTCAACCACTCCTCTTAATATACTATCAACTTCTCGGGTTTATGTCCCTCGAGAGTTAATATATACGCCATAGAATACAAAGTTTGTAATTTTTCACACAAAAGTCAGGGTCCATTTGACCCGCTAAATATTGACCGATCTTTATCAAAACAGACATGCTCATTCTTTGGCCCGATCACCTACTCCGTGTAAAATTTCACGATGTTCGGGCCATAATTGCGGCCTCTGGAGCGACAGGAAAAACAGAAAACATAAATTTTTTGGTCCATTTCATCCCCTAAATATTAACCGATCTTTTCCAAAAACAATAGGGGTCTTGATTAGCCAGAACCCATCCTTCATGCAAAATTTCGTGAAGATTGGTCCATAACTGTGGCCTGTATCGTGTTTACAAAATATAATGGACAGACGGACGGACACACATTTCTAGATCGACTCAGCTAGTCTAGATATGACGATCGATATACTTAAAGGTGGGTCTAGGGTATAAAAATTTTACTAAAAAATATATTATGTATATAGCTTGGGAGGATTTATCCTGTAAATACTTTTGAACAATTCCATGCCTATAGTCAAGTCATATTAGCAAAATAACCAATATTATATACTCCATCCCTCGGAAAATCCATGCGATACCCGCCCAACAGTTCTCCAAAAATATTCTTAAAAAATACACTTCAAAAACTCCATATTTATAGTTGATCGAGTTCCTTAAAATATATATATATATATATGTTTATATAATCCTTTTATTTCGCGAGTTCCTAAGAAATGCACTTACAAATTTAGATCTGCAGTTGGACAAATCCTTAAAGGAGAAAAACACGTCTAAAGTTTGAGAAGCCCTCATACCACCACTTGGTGCTAGCACAATGCATTTCTAAGTTCGAATTAAATTAAAATACTAAATTAATTTTTTTTAAAACCGAGAATGGGGTGGTCCCCTAAAACAAATATATTGCTGAAAAAACAACGCCTTTATACGGTATATATTCTCAGAAAAAATATATTGAATATTGTTTCAAAATATCCAACAAAAATCCACGGCTATATCTGGAATGTTCCCTCCGAAAAGAAAACGAAATAGACTCATGGTTCCTTTTGAAATATGCATAGAATCACTTTCTAAGTCGATATATGCATGTCCGTCCGTCTGTCCATGTTAAATTGTAAACAAGGTACAGGTCGCATGTATGATCCGCATTGAATGAAATTTGGCATGGGTCTCTTATTGGCGCAAAGACGAACCCTATTGAAATCGGTTGAGGTTTAGATATAGCTCATATATATATCTATATATATATATATATTCATCCGATTATATCAAAATGGTGCATCAAACCACCAATGTTTGTCCGATTAAGACAATGGTACAGTTTGATGTATGCGAAGTTTTTTTTTAACGATTCAGATTTTTATATAGCTCCCATATATACGTTCGTCAGATTTTATGTAAAAGGTACACCCGACTCCCTAAATTAGCTACTGTTTGATGTATGCGAAGTTTTAATGAAATCGGTTCAGATTTAGTATAGCTCCCAAACATATTTCCGTCCGATTTTATGTATATGGTGCACCAGTGTACTGAATTAGGTACGAGGGCGGATCGGAAAGTTCTTAGCCTAGCCCAGAAATAGTTAAGTGTTTTGGAAACTTTCATCTCTGGTATGAACACATGTTACATTTTGTTTCGATCTGGCAACTCCTTCGTATAGAAATACCCTTCACCACACTGTGGTACAGGGTATTATGTCTTTGTGAATATGTTTGTAACAGGCAAAAGGATATCTTTCGATTTGCACGAAATTTAGCATAGCGTAATGAATTAGGTCTACAATGATGTGTGTCAAGTTTCCTGAAAATTGGTCCAGATTTAGATATAGCTTCCATATATATTTTCGTCCGATTTAATGTAAATAGTCACCAAAGTCCCTGTATATCTTTCGATTTGGACGAAATTTGGCATAGCGTAATGAATTAGGTCTAGAATGATGTGTGTTAAGTTTCCTTAAAATCGTTCCAGATTTATATATAGCTTCCATATACATTTCTCTACGATTAAATGTAAATGGTACACCAAAGGCAATGAATATCTTTCGATTTGCACGAAATTTGTCATAGCGTAATTAATGAGGTCTAGGATGATATGTGTAAAGTTTCGATATAACTCCTATATATTTTTATACCCTTCACCACACTGAGGTACTGGGTATTATGACTTTGTGTATATGTTTGTAACAGGTAAAAGGAAACGAGATAGGCACATGGTTCCTTTTGAGAATATGCATAGAATCAATTTCTGAGTCGATTTATACATGTACGTCCGCACGTCCGTCCATATGTCCGTCTGTTGGTGTTAAATTGTAAACAAAGTACAGTTCGCATTTATAATCTGATTTGGATGAAATTTGGTACAGCTCACTTATTTGGCCCATGGACGAACCCTATTGAAATTGGGGAAAATCGGTTCAGATTTAGATATAGCTCCCATATATATTTTCGTCCGATTTAAGGTAAATGGTATACCAAATTCCCTATATATCTTTCGATTTGCACGAAATTTGGCGCAGCATTATGAATTAGGTCTAGAATGATGTGTGCAAAGTTTCGTGAAAATCGGTCCAGATTTAGATATAGCTCCCATATATATTTTCGTCCGATTTAATGTAAATGGTGTACCAAAGTCCCTATATATCTTTCGATTTGCACGAAATTTAGCATAGCGTAATAAATTATGTCTAGAATGATGTGTGTTAAGTTTCCTGAAAATCAGTCCAGATTTAGATATAGCTCCCATATATATTTTCGTTCGATTTAATGTAAATAATGCACCAAAATCCCTATATATCTTCCGATTTGCACAAAATTTGGCATATCGTACTGAATTAAGTGTAGAATGATGTGTGCTGAGTTTCGTGAAAATCGGTTCAAATTTAGATATAGCTCCCATATATAGTTTCGTCCGATTTTATGTAAATGGTGCACCAAAGTCCCTACATATCTTTCGATTTGCACGAAATTGGGTATAGCAGACTGAATTGAGTCTAGATGGAGCCACGTCTGTTTCATATACACGAGATAAAATTGTGGACGGCTCTTTGTACTACAGCATACCAAATATGTCACCGTTGCTTAATTATGTCTAGATTTACATAAATACACAATTTTGCTTGGTTTTATACAAATGGTACACCAAAGAATTCAAGCCTCCCCGTTTGACATATTTAATTCCGCCCGATTCCATTTCCAAGGTCCTCTAAAGCTGATATGTATGTTCTATCTACAGGATACTGTATATATTAGCGCCCCTTGTATGTACCCATAGTAGTGAAGGGTATCATATAGTCGGCCCCGTCCCAATTTTTGAATTTTCCTTACGGGTTTACAATGGATGCGTGGATTTAAACAATTGAAAAATGTTAAGTTCGGCTGAGCCGAACTTTGGATACCCTTCACCATAGTTATACTGAAATTTACTTAAAAATTAAAGTTCAAGAACTCTACTAAAGTGAATGACCTTGGAAAGTGTGGTTAATAGTTCCGATGTAAACATTTGTATTATTTTGTTATTATTATTATTTATTAATATAATTGATGCGAGTTATAACATCCTTTGCAGGGCAAAGTTATATGTGAGGGTAATTGGAATTATTGAACATTTTAATTTCGAACCTAACATTTTCGTTTTGTAACACAATACCATCCTTTAGCCTAAGTATTAAATCGATAGGTATTATTATTTAAGGGATAGACCTAAATACGGACCTCAAACCTAACGTTCTAGGGTTTTTCTCGATATCCACCGAAGGTAGAATGATTACAACAGACTGCTAAATTGTCTTAGAATTCCATTCTTTTAAGTTGAAAAACGGACTCAACAAACCCCAAAATTCCGAATTTTTCGTGGGATAGCCTTATATGGGGTCTATGCCTAAACGTGAACCGATATAGCCCATCTTCGAACTTGACCTGCCTGTTCGATGAGTTACAAACGGAAGACAAACATAATATTACCTCCACACTGTTGTGGAGGATATAAAAATGTTCATGACATATTGTAGGTATTTTAATGGCCACAAAAAAATTTGAAATATAGGTACAATGTATATTGCCCTCATATAAAAGTGAATGTCTTCGGTCATTTCCAGGCCACTGACATTTTCAAACAGAAATTACTGAAATTTAGCATTCCTGTAGAATAAAAACGCCATGTTTAAATATTCAATATGTTTTGACATATCCCTTTCTGCAAAAACGATCTCTTCATGAGTCACTTCAGGTTATGCCACCTAGACATACTGATCGCCATGAGCTGAAGAGGGAATACATTATCTCCATAAAAGTAGCAAGATCTATTAATAAGGTCATAGAACAAGAGAAAGTCAGCTGTTTTTTCTGAAGTCTAATATCAAAAATATAGACATTTTTTTAAGTTTTCATAATGGAAGTCAATAATGGATTTTTTCAACAAACTTGAAAGGCAGCTGATATCCAGGTGTTCTCACTGGATGACACAGAGGAGCTGATAGCCTTTACGTAGTTATTTATGATAGTGCATGGGAAAGTTTTCTTTATACGTTTCTAATTAAATATTAATTATAAACAAATTGTGGTATATGAATATTCATTGTAATTAATATTTTGTCTATTATTTTTTATAAACCAAAACTACTCTTATAATGTCCCATCTTTTTAGACTCAAAACACAGTATATGAAATAATATCGGATATGTCCAGTCGACAGGATGCCATTGAAGAACGTTTGACCAATCTTGAGGATAAATTACAAGCCTTACAAGTACTGTGTTCATGATTTTTAACAGACAACATTTTAGAACATACCAAAAATATGCTAACAATGTTTTATCTTTCTCTCTCTCTCTCTCTCTCTCTCTCTCTCTCTCTCGCCCTCCACACACTCCACAACAAAATCACAGGATCACATGGAAAGTTTACCCGAGATAATAACAAGATGTTTGAGCCAACATCAGGAACGTGTAGAGCAGCGTAAAAATTTCTTACATCCAGATACGGCTGCTGCGCAATCACTGCAGCCGCCACACACACCGACGCCGATGTTCAATGCGCCCTCAATGCAGTTTCCACATTCAAGGTGGGTACTAAACGCTTACCAAAACACCAATTCTGGCATTGTTTCGCAACAACAACAAATTCAGCAGCAACATCCGCAAATGCATCTTCTTCTTAATAACAATAATAACAACAACAATACCACCACCACCACCTCTTCCAATCACCAATACCACCACCACCACCATATGCTATCTAGCGACACATTGCCATTGATTCCCTGTAAAAAATCCTCGAAATCATCACCACCCAATTCACAAATGCCATCGACACCACCACCACCACAACCACAACCTGTCTCATCCCCGCCACCTCCACCACTGCCCATGCGACACTTTAATGCAAATAGAGCAAATTGAAATTTGAAACAACAACAACAAAAAGAAACCCTAATTTGAAGAAACAAAAAAAAGAAATGATTATTTGAAAATTAAGAAAACAGAAGGGAATGGCTCATAATTATGACAATTGTTCAAATAGCTGTTAAATAAGCCTGAAAGAAAATGTATTTTTGTTTTTGTAAATGTTACATATTTATGAGCTGTTTTGTTGTAGTAACGTAATCAAATTTTTCATGCAATCCACCACAAATATATATAAAAAAAATATTATTTTTGTAAAAAATATATACATATATTTCTTTTTTTAATTTTTTTTGTCTTCAGTTTTTGTTGGTAAATGAAAACAAAGTGTTCAATTCAAATACAGTCAGTTGTCCTTCTTGGTGGTTCCAAAGCAAATGTGTATATATTTTTGTAAATAATTTGGAAACTTATGGAAGAGGTAGAATAGATATATGTATAGAAACATAAAATTCATTGATGATATTGAAATGATTCGATAGAACTGTGACACCCTTAGTGATCTGGGAAAACGAAAGGACATTTGTGGATATTAGAACCATACCCACAACCTATACACATATATAGTTGTGAGACGTCATCGCTTCACCGTTAAGTTCACCGTTTTTTATAACCTTGATAATCAAGATGGAGTATTTTGCATTTTTTATAATCAAATTATAGACATTTTTATTTAAAATACATAAAATGGGAGGGACTGTTGTATGAGTCAAATTTTCTTCTAAAAGGATTTTTATCCTCCGAGAACAGGAAATAACAAATTACATCCCTTTGGTCTGTAACATTTAAAAATGCCTACTAACAAAAAGCCAGTAAGGAAAGTTCAAAAATCGGACGGGGACGACTATACGATACCCTCACCACCTTGGGTACATACAAGAGATGTTAATATCTACAATATCCTGTAGAGAGAACAGACATAGAATCTTTGGAGGACCATTGAGATGGAATCGGGCGAAATTAAATGTGGAATTTAGATAGATATTTGAACCAATTGAAAAAAAAAACTCCATACACATACCATTCTGAAATGGTACACATACCATTCTGAAATCAATGAAGAATTGCATGTCAAACGGGCAGACTTGGATTCCTTGGTGTACCATTTGTATGAAAGCGGGTAAAACTATATATAAACACATGGATCTAATTGAGCAACCGTTGCATACACCATTTGTTTTTTGTTATCACTCTATATTCAATTTAATACCCTCAGCCAAATAGGCCCATCGGTGCACCTTTTACATAAAATAGAACGAAAATATATATAAGACCAATTTCAAAATCTGAACCGATTTCAGCAAAACTTATCACATATAATTTTTTCCTCTATTGCATTCGCTATGCAAAATTTTGCTCAATCGGACAAACATTGGGAGTTTGGTGCATCATTCACATAAAATCGGACGAAACTATATATTGGAGCTATATCTTAATCTGAACCATTTCCAAGAAAACTTCGCATACATAAGTATGGACCTGATTCAGTGCGATGTAAAAAATGTTGTCCAAATCGGACAAATATTGTGAGTTTTGTTCCAAATGACATACAAATCAGATAATAAATGGACGGACGGACAGGCGCACATATGTACATCGACTCAGAAAGTGATTCTATGCCCATTCACAAAAGGAACCATAGGTCTATCTCGATTCCTTTTGCCTGTCACAATCATATGCACAAAGACATAACAACCTGTGCGACAGTGTGGTGAAGGGTATAAAAACAGTAAGGAAAGTAGTAAAGTCGGACTGGGCCGACTATACCCTTCACCACTTTGGTATATTCTACATATATATAATCATAGACGTCGCCTTTCGAAGGCACATTGACATGAAATAGAACGAACTTAAATATGTGATCTTTATCTATATGTGAACGGACTAACATCAATCCGTACATATATTGTGAAACCTATTATAAGTTTCATTTCATTCGGGCAGATTCAGAATCGTTTGCGTACAATAGAACAAATTTATGTGCTATAAGCACACGTGATACACGCAATTCGGTATGCGGCACTCTTCAAAATTTAATCTCAATCAGGCACCCGTTCGAAATATATACGGAAGCTATATCTGTATCTGCACCAATTTCAACAAAACGCAATAACGCCATTCTAGTCTCAATTTGATACGTTGTCAATCGGACAAACATTACGAGTTTGGTGCACCATTTACCTAAAATCGAACGAAATTCTATATGGGAGCTATATCTAAATCTGACTCGATTTTCTCGAAATGACATACGCCATTCTAGACTCAATTCAGTACGCTATGCCAAATTTAGTGCAAATCGAAAGACATGTAGGGATTTTGGTGAATCATTTACATAAAATCGGACGAAAATATATATATGGGTGCTATATCTGAAAATTATCACACATAATTTTAGATTTTTTTCAGTACGCTGTGCCAAATTTCGTGCAAATCGAAACATATATAAGGACTTTGGATTAGACATTAATTTGTCTTTAAGAGTTCTATTATATTAAGAAACTTTGTTGCAGTACAATTTTGATATAGGTCCATGTTTTGACATAGTCCATGACGGGCTATGTTATGGTAAATTTTTGAGAGCCAATCGGGTTAATCCCCAAAATATCCAATAAAGTAATATGGAGGCTATCCCAAAAAGTGAACCAATAGAATCTTGGCATTTATAGAGGGGCTACCGTAAAAAGTGGATTTTTGTTAGGAGGAGATGTTAATGAGATCGTCATAGATGACGAATTATTGATCCGTACGTATGAGCCTGATTGCTCATACGCCCCAATTTCGATGTTTTGATGGTTTTAGTCGCACCTTCCAACTTAAAGGACATTTATTTGTCATTAAGGGTTATAGTAGACACATTGTTGCCGAACTATTTTTATATAGATCCATGCTTTGACATAGTCCATAGCAGGCTATGCCATGATTAATTTTTGGTAGGAAGATCTCACATCTAATGAGAGCCAATGAGGTTAATCCCCAAATATCCGATAATGTATCCTAAAAATATGACTAATAAATATGACACAAAAAATCTTGACATTTATGATGTATCCTTATAAAGGGGCTATTATCAAAGTGGATCAATATTGATTAATTTGTGGTAGGAAGAGATGCTTATAAGATCGTCACAGGTGACGAATTATTGATCCGTTCGTATAAGCCCGATTGCTCATACGCCCCAATTTTTGTTTTAGTCGCACTTACAAACTGAAAGCATTAATTTGTAATTCAGGGTTCTATTAGATAGAGAAACATTTTTTTTTTTTTTTTGCTATAGCCCACCAAAGTGGTATTAATTCGACAGTCCAGATTCTACCAAGGTGACAAATATTTTGGCTGAAACTTTTCGATATAGGTCCATGCATTGACAAACCTCTCATATAAAGGTCGCGTCTCTTTTTATACCCTACACATCTAGGTTGTCAGGGTATTATAGCTTTGTACAGCCCCATGAATTTGTAACGCTACGTAATATTGGTCCTTTAAGAATACCGATCGTCATATCTCGTCTAGCTAAGTCGAAATTTTGAATGTAGTTTGGGTTCTGGCCAACGACGACCCTATTGTTTTTGGTAATGATCCGTTAATATTTAGGGTATAAAATTGGCCAAACACTTTATTTTTGTAAGTATTTCTGATCGCTTTAGAGGTCACAATTATGACTCGAACACCAAGAAATTTTACTAGAGATTTTTATGATGATCGGTTAATATTTAGCGGGTCAAATTGACTCAGACTTTTGTGTGGAAAATGACAAAATTTATATTCGATGGCGGTCAATATTTAGCGGGTCAAATTGACCCAGACATTTATGAACCAAACTCCTAAAGGACATAGATCCGAGAAGTTGATAGTATATCCAATAGGAGTGATTGACCTTTAAATTGATACGAAGAACAGCTTGTTAGATGATGATCGATCAATATTACGAGGGTCAAATCATCCAAAACCTGAAATTATCAAATTTTGTCGTAAATATTCACTTCGAAAAAAAAAGATATGGAATATATGCCATGGTTAGTAAGCTCCACTTACTAACCATGGTTAATCTACACTCGGTCAAGAGGGTGCAAATATCGTGAAATATTAACCAGGCTCAGAATATAGAAACGCATAAAGTTAGATTTTCGTGGTAGTCGTGTTGGGTATCATATGTTCAGCGTCGTCCGACTATACTGCTCTGTTCACTGGTTTTGTGATTACCGATTCTTGTAATAAAAAAATGCTATATTTGCCGATAATTTTCACACCAAAGTAGCTGTAACTTCTTATTCTCGCTTCGTGCAGGATTAAAAACTTAATTACAGACATGTTTCGATGTAGGTACATGCATATCAAATAGGAATCCTCCTCATTTTCCGTATTTTGAAGGTATTAGCCGCATTTTCTAATAATTTGGTATTCCAGGTTCATGATGGGTTCATATTTCGACATAGCCATTTTCCAGATCAAAATGTCTGTAATTTGGTAGTACGAGCTATTGGGAAGAGATATAGATCCATTTTTGATGTAGACTCCATATAAAGGTCCCGTCCTATTGAATATGGAGCGCATTCTCAACTCGTGTACCTATAATTTGATGGTTAAAATATGTATGTGCATGTTTTATTACATAAGCCTTATATAAGATATATCATCGATTTTAGATATTTTTATGCTCCTAGGTGCTAGGCCCTATAAAGAACGCAACAATTTTTTAGGTATTTTTAAGGTCCTAGACTTTTTTCAAACTATAATTTTTCTGTCAGTAATTTGGAATTTCAATTTCTCTGAGAAAAAAATATCCTCATGGTAGATTCATGTTTTGATATAGCCCTCTATATGAGGGCTCCGCCGATTTTGGGTATTTTTGATAATTTTCAAAACCGTGGAAGCGATAACTTGACATCCCCGGTTCTCGAAGTTTTAGCCAAATTTTCCAAACTGTAATTTGTCTGTTGTTTCGCAGAGAATTAAGGATAGTAAATCCAAGCTATTGGAGGATGAAAAACTCATTTGCA